CATGTGAGAAAAGAAAACAGAAGTAAAATAAGTGTGCGCGAAATCGAATTTCCACGAAATTAAAGAGTAACAATTTGTCGAAACTTTCTGAATCAATATCGACATAATCCAATTTAATATATTTTTTCCACAAAATCATATACATCACATCGTCATTGCAAAACTTCCAATTTACATGTTCTTTCTTTATCATGATCACTTTTCGTTATTACTTAAACTAACATAGTTGATACGCTTTGTATGATCGAAACAAATTTATAACAAAGTTGTAGGAACTGATATTGCCAACGTGAAATTACATTAACGGAATAGATTATGGTTAAATATTTGCTCGGTAAATGGGAAGGACACTTAAACAGCAAATCAAGTAATCGGCATCCAGATTGAGCCAACCAACCAATCGTGGCGATCCTTTCTTTAACACGAACTACTTTCTCATTATGATTGTAAGATATAGCCTGAAATTATTGATAATAGACTACGCAGGTTTATATATTTATGAAAAATTTTAAAATGTAGAAGTGTTTAGATCACATATAACATGCAAAGATTTATAAAATATTCACAAAAATGTAAATTTCCGTAAACATGTGTAGTCTGGTAATAAATATTCATACTAATGGAACAAATTTGCAGTACAGGAAATCAATGTTAATTGATATTACAATAAGAAAACATATTTATCAATATATAACAGATAAAAAAATTGCACTGGAATTTTTTTATAATAAAAGATAAGACAGAGTTTTATAAACGTATGTAAACTCTTGTGCTTATGGCCAACGTTTTCCTTTCTGTAAGTTAGTAACGAAAATTTTGCTAGTTATAAAATTGAAAAACTTACATTATTAGAACGAAATTGAACTGGCAGTGAGAAATAAGCGTTATTTATTACAAAGAATTTTTCTAAGTATCGTATTTATAACTCAAAGTAATCTTTTTTTTCATATGCACCTACTTGTTAAATATAAATAGTAGTATCGTGGACAAAAGGCTTAAGAGATATCGAGTAAACCATAAACAATGCGGCGAGGGCCGAGGCGCCGTCGGGCCCATCAAAGTGCCGTCGATCCTTCAATTGAATAGTTTTGAGTTGTATAGATTATAGTACGTTATTGTGATTAGTTCACGTTAAACAACCATCGTTCTTCTGTCTAATCAACATCTGTAAAATCCATTCATTGTAAATAAATCATCAATATATATTTACGATACTACATTACATTTAACCGAGTGGCATAAAAAGCTTTCATTTTCATTGAAAATTGCAAGTATAATGCTAAAGCATGAACTAGGAAGAAATTGTTCTGTAATATTTTATATAGAATTTATGAAATTAACTTCTTATATAGAATTTATATGGAATTTATCTTATAATGTCGCGAGAAAGATATTGCTTCAATTACTCTTAATCGAGGCGTAATTATTAATTGTAATGTTAAATAAATAAACCATTTTGCTTATTTAAACTATTATTTCACGGACAAAATGGAATTCAGCGAATTTAACAACGTTATAATTATGGTATTTCAAATTTTAATATCCAGTTTTAGATATAATGTCACGTCATTATTTCATACAAAACAATCTTTATATATTTTAATTTTTCTTAATACATCAAGATTAAATAAATTACACATATCTAAATTGGACATTCTACAATTTGTCCAGTCACCTAGCTTAATCATGAGTCTAATCTAAAAAGGAATAAATTTACTGTGATCTATAATTGTTGTACATTACATAACAAAAAAAGGAATGCTGTTTTTTTGCGGATAATTTTAAAGCGATAATAAAATACTTCTTACTCGTGTTAACACTATATAAATAAAATATACAAATTCGACTTATGATATTATCTCTATTTTTGACGTTTCTTGTATATTAGGTCAAAGACCCTACCATTTAAATAATCTAAAAATATTTGTAGATAATAATAAAAATGATTTTTCAAATTCATAAAAAATAGATTTTACCATATCCTTTACGATTTAATGGCTGCTTTAAATATCATTAATATCGGAATATGATGTTTTCTGTAATAGTATATAGATCGAAGGCAGGTGAGGATGAATGAAGTATTTTTAGCGGTTTATAATAAGGACGGAATGAAAAAAGGTGGCGAGGGAAATTAATGAATTAGCAAACGAATATGTAAAAACAGTGGGACAGACAGAATACTTGAGAAAGAAAGTAGAAGGAGGCAGCCAGAAGCGGCTGCTATAGGTTAGATTCTAACGTATTAAGCGTATTAAGAAAGAAAGATATAGTAAAAAGTAGGATAAATGGAACGGTGATAAGCTGGGTAAGAGTTTTAGAAAGAGCTTAAGAACATATGTAGGTACCGAACTAAGCCGAAGGTTGATATGTGATGAATAGTGTATAATGTATAGATTAAGTATAGGATAGTGCATATAGTATAGCTAGAAGGAATAAAGAGATATATATTTAAATTTCTAATATTAGATATAAGATGAGATATGTGTGCTTGGGATAGAAACGTAGACTGGGTGTAGGACTTTGAATATAATGGATGCTCTAAATGCAGTATGGAAATAAGTAAGAATTAGAAATATCTAAGTCAAATCCTATTTCTGTGAAAAGGAACGAATAAAAAAATATATATATATATGGCAGTGCTTTTCTCCTATATAATACAAGAGATGTAATACTTAGTAACATGTTAACGAGATAATCCATCCAATATATTAATTTTTCATATACGCGAACAACACAGGCAGAGGATGACAAAAAAATTGAAACAACGTGCTTGAAGCCATCGTATGAAGAAGCAATATCTCCCTTAATCCGCTCGGGGAATATAAAGCTTCAAGTAATTGTTCGCGATACCTTTCCGCTACGACTCATTGTCAGACACGCCAGCTTGTCAGCTTTTATGACGCTCAAATGATATGGATCGCAATATTGTACGCAGTAACATCAGGAGAGCTGTATTGTGAATGTTCATTAGCCACCACTGTGACCGTACGCTATTGTGTTTCAGAGATTTGTACCCGTCACAAAAAAAAGAATGAAAAACGGAAAAGAAAAACACTACACAGACTAGGAACAAAATTCTAAATGTATTTTCCTGAGTTAATTTGTTCATATGCAAACCTTTTGTTTTTAACCCTTCTTTTATTTTTTCTTTCTTTTTTTGTTCGTGTTATTCATTCATCCTTTTACTCGCAATTGGTGCAGACTACAGGCAAAGTACGAGTATAATTCTAATTCCATTCTAGAAGGAAAGAATCCTTTTAAGTGTATCGTCGATACGATACACGAAAAAGAATGAAACGCTGTTTTTCGTCAAACGGTTCGAAGATATATGCACAGTGGGTACAAAGTGTATTGACACAGCGATGTATTTATTGTAATATTTACATACTAGTTAATTAGATACAAATATATTACATTTCATTTCATTTAATAGTAGGTACTGTCATATGACTGAAAAAGCTCTGAAAATGAAATGTAGAACCTGCTAAAAAAAAAGCTTTGTGCCAATACTTCGTGTAACCACTGCATGTCGAACATAACTGTAGCGAAAACGCGGGTGCATTTCATTCTGTCGACTTTCCAAATTTGTGAAATTATAGTTACTGAGAAATTAATAAACCATGTTGCTTCCATTTCACGTGACGTTTGCGTTTCGAAATATACATTGCGGCTCAGCTCCTTTATGAACCAGCCTATTTTGCGTTAAATCCGATTTGACCGTTCATTACGTTCATTGTCGTCAGCTTATGCGTATTTCGTTACTTTACAAATAATTAACTCCGATACCCGATTGCGCAAACAACAGGTCATTAGAAGAAGGAAAACACTGAGATAGATAAAATGTAAATCGTATCGAGGAATGCATGATATGTTTCACTAATATGGCACACGGTGGATTGATATGTCATAATATTCGAGTGATATATATATATATATATATATATATATATATATATAGTGATATATATATTCGTTTGTTTCATCAATAATATTTTGATCAAAATATAACATGAGAAGAATTTGTTTGATTTTGATCGATTTCGTTGCAGGAAACGACAAAGAAAAATGGCGTTTCGTGTCAGTGACGCATAAAAAGATCGGGTAAACGAAAACAATCTGCGGTAAATATCATTACTTTCGATGCATGGACGAGTAGTCTTTAAATGTCGCATTGGCGTGACTCGGTTGCAAGAACCTCTGAACGGTAAAATAATTAACATTTCTATATATCATTCCTAGAAGGTATTATAAAATGTCGTGAATTAACTTTTTATTAACGAATAATAAAACAAAAATAGATAAACGCTTAATAACGCAGACGATATTGTAAAACACTAATAGGAACAAAATGATCGTTAAGGAACAATGTTATCGTAACAAGATGAATATTCGAGAAAGGGCAAATATTCATACAAGTGCAAATAATACATGAAAGGACAAAGGGCAGTTCACGTTAAACATATGCACATCATTTATAGCTCACTTTAAACAATGATACGCGTAAATTATTCTGGACGTGATGCTAACCGTGTATTTTCGAGGAAAAAGGCGGCAAATCATTCGTGTCTATTTCTCATGACAGTAAATTTCGTGTTATGGACAGATACATAACATAAATTCCATAGTTTCCTAGTTTGCCTAATTTTAAATTCCATTCGAACACGATCCACGCGCGTTACGCGTAAACGTTCGTTACGAATTGCAACGAATAAAGTTTGATTCGATCGAGAGAGAGAAATAAAGATCGTTCCAGTAAAATCCATTGAACGCGTTCTCGTGCCCCGGTTGTCACGTGTTTTCACTGCGATTACCGTGATTTGGCCAAGATACCGGCCGGGAAACAACCAATAAACCCGTGGACTCGTTCGTCGACGAATAAAATGACCACTAGAAACGTGTCCTGTCGTGTTCTCCAGCCTGTACCACGTATTATCGATCCGCGTAAAATATACGATTCAATAGAACCAGTCAGTGTATTTGGCATGGCATTTTTATTTCCATTTTTTCCGTCGTTTTCGTATTTTATTTTCTTTTTTTTTTTTTTTTTGTTACCTCATCACGGATACGTCGATCGGTTCCAGAATCATTGAGCAGAGAAAAGCAGCCGGCCTGAACGATAGGCGATAAACCAATCGGTAGAAATTGCAAGCACTGCACCGCATGCACTATCTCACCCTCGATCTCTCGATGCCGCGCGCGAGCACACGTATACACTAGTGCACTCATACATTCACACGTCCGCATGTAGACATAGTCTGGATCATATTATCACATACGTTCAAATACGTATATTCAGGCACACTGCTCTCAAGACACGTACGAACCATAGTCGGGCAAATACGCACACACACACACACGGAACACACAGGACACAAACACAGACACAGGTTGATAACTGACCGATATTCGCAATTGGCGTTTCGGCTTACCGCTTACCGCCAAAGTGTCTAGATCAACACACACAGACTCACTTACGTAAGACACTAACGCGAGGCATGAGCCGGTCAACCAATCGCAAGCCCCTCGTTTCAGTGTTTGAGCAATAGTTTATATTCGCTTGCAATTGGCTTACGGGCTTCTTGTGCTTACTATACAGTCTTATGTAATTGATTCTATTGGCTCCGGGTAATACAAAAAAACAGACAGAGATCGAACGACGACGGATACATTCTGGGAATTGCGAACTTTTTTTTCTCACTTTGCTTTTTCTTTGTTCACCGAATTCAATCGTTGATTAGATATTTCGTTCGATAGAGGTATCGCGACGTTCGCAGTTGTTATCATTCGCGATGTCAGCAATTATTCGATGTATCGATACCGACGTATCGATATTGATATATACGCACATGATATTACCATTGACGTAGGTATACTAACGCTTTTAAGTTCTGTGAAATTTCTCGATGAATCGATATCGAAAGAGACAGTGTGTCGTTACACGAATACATTTTGAATGGTTCCTAACGCACGGCAAAGTAAATCAATTTATCGTCAGGAGAATTGCAACGACGGATCCAGAGGTGTACCCGACGTCATATTTCACGCTCTACCGTTTCCGTGAATTTTCGTCCTCGAACACGAACGTCAATAACTATCCGATGTGACAATATCGCTTCCCTCGTATGTCGCGTTTCCGTTAGTTATTCCGAATCGATTCGATACTCGATCTTACTCCGACTATCGAAATTATAACGTATTCATAATTCGTACGTACCGTTGATGATGATAATAATAAATGAAAAAACTATCTGATCGACGAATCGTTAGACGCGCGACGGAAAATGGGATGAAATTTTCGAGCATCGTTACAGCGATGCGTAATCGCACGTCAGCCGTATTCTCGATCTCGTATTGTCGTCGTGCTCACACCATATCCAAATCATCTAACATCGTCTAATTACACCTTCGAAATTGACTAGAAAATTCACGTGTGTAGTATACACGGTAGCCAACACACACGGTAAATAGAAATTATTCTCTCGCGTATCTGTCTCTATCTACACATCCTTCGGAACATGCACTGCAGTCTTCTCGTAAACATTATCTTAAGAAACGGTATATTTAAACCGTATCTTTAAACGTCATGTTACTATATTCCATTTTTCGTGATCTCTCTTTCGCTTCTTTTTTCTTTTCTTTTTTTTTTTGTTTTTGTTCTTTCTTCGAATATCCCTTAATCGTTCATATAGAAAGTATTAGCCGTCAACATTGTACTGCAAGACCACCGAAACGACGTCGTCGTTCTTACCAGATCGCGTTGACCGTTCCATTCATTTAGAACGTCGAGTAGGATATTCTTCCTATCGTGCTACACGTTGGATACACACAAACCTTCGCGAAAACCTTCGAAATGAAAAGTTCTTGGAGGTTAGAAAGCCGGCGTTATTCTTTGAGAACTGGCAGATGGCGGAATTTATCGATCGAGTCCTCGACAGATTCTTCGTTTTATGTGTTCCGTGCATTAGTCACGACGGCACTTTCAACTATTTCATCGACCACTGTACGTAAATCTCGCGACAAGTGGACGTTCGTTTCCACCGAGTCGGCCGAACGACTTCCCATTCTCGGTGTCTGCCACCCTTCTATACGTATGTATATCCACATACGGAATACATCTCGACCATTTCATCGATCACTCTCTCCGTCTATATATACGTATGTACGAGTGTGTAACATGTGGTATGTATATATTATACGTTTTATGTATACGCAATCCACGTGACAGGTCGACGTCCTGGTCCATCACGTTAATATCCGCGACGGAGTTCGATATTTAAATTAAATCGAGAATCTTTTTTCTTTTTCACTACCGCTCGTCCGGCACTGGACAGGACGTCTCTCAGCAGTCGGTGTCGTCCTGGTGGCGTCTACGAAGCTCCAGGTAACGGTGCCGGGCGTCACAGTAATGAAGCAGCGGTACCTAGACATCAGTTCCAGTCCCTTCTTGATAACCCTCGTCGGGGGAGCTACGCGTCGAGCCAAGGACGCGCTTCAACGCAGACACCGGTGGCAAAACCGGAACTCCCTTCTGCCATACTCTTATTTGCTTCGCCCCTGGCGGAAATTGCTCGACCATAGGTGCCACTACGGCTAGGGCTTCCTTCGAAGGGTACGTGCTCATCGGAACTGTTGTTCTGCACGTATCCCTCGCCTCCCACATACAACTCGTGTAAAGGATCTTCGCGTCGTCCACCACTTCCATACGACTATAGTCCGCTCCGCCGTAAGGAGTGATGTCTTCCGCCGAACCACGTCGCGTATCCCTGATAAGATCAGGATTGTCAATCGGCATCAGCGACGTAGTGGAAGAGAAACAAGCACCCGGTGCAACCATCACCGAGGGCTGTTGGCTCTGATCATCGAAACGACCGATCGAACCGTACTCGTTCTCTGTCTGCAAGGCCGCTGCTTGAGGTCTTTGAACGTAGCTCAGGTTTAAGGACACCGGTGGCTTCGATTCCACACCGAACGACGTCGTTTCGATTTCTTCGTGTTTTCTGCGAGTAGTCGACGTTGCCGATGATGGATTCTCGTTGTTACCACCTGTACTATCGGCGGACACCCCTTCCGCAGGAACCGACGACTTCACGTCTTTCAACGGCATTCTTCGTAAACGAATGAACAACACGAGAATTATAAGGAGTATAAAGAGAATGAGCACGACTAGAGCGGCGGATATACCGGCGATTTGGCCGGAACCGAGAGTAGACATGCCAGCGGTTCTCAGGGATACGTGAAGAGTGAAATTCGCCTCGACGCTACCAGCACGATTTTCTGCCACGCAGTAGAACTCGCTAGAGTCCGCTTCCTGAGCGTTCGTCAGCACTAGCGTACTTCTTTTCCGAAACTGACCCTCCTCAAAGATCAAAATCTTTTGATACCCACTGAATGCCGAATGGTTGGTCAGCAAACGTCCGTTCCAATACCATTTCACCTTGGCCGGTGGTATCGCGCTAACTCGACACACAATACTGGCATTTTCGCCTATCGTTGCCTCGGCGTAGCGACTAGCTATCAGGAGAATCGGTCGACAGGCAAAATCGTCGATACTCAAATCGGTGAAGGTACGATTCAATAATTGTTTCGGACCGTGACAAAGGGGTGCTTGAAGGGTCGGCAAATTGTGCTTTACGAGCCACATTTTCATCTCGCGTAAATGGCAATCACAGATCCAGGGGTTATCGTGAAGTTCTATGCTCGTGAGTTTGTTCAACGGTTCGAACGTGCCGGGATGAAGGGTCGATAACTGATTATTGTTTAACTTTAAACTTTCCAATAGTTCCAAGCCTCGGAATCCTTTCGCCTCGATCTCAACCAGTTGCGTGTGAGACAGATCCAACTTGACCAGGTTCGGTGTACTCTTGAACGCGTGCGAGTGAATCCTCTTGAGAAGATTGTTGGACAGTACGAGATCCCTGAGGAACGGTGTATCCAAGAAACTTGCAGTAGGGACCACCGTTAAGAGGTTGTGACTTAGATCGAGCTCTACCAGATTCGTAAGGCCAGCCAGTGCCTCGCTATCGATTCGGTCGATACGGCACTCGCGTAGGTAGAGACGCTGTAGATTCGTCAAACGTACACGTTTGAAGATGTTACTCGGCAGGGTCCGAATGTCGTTACCGCTTGTATCCAACACTTGCGTTTCCGGATCGATCCACTCCGGTATGCTAGTCAGGGCACGATTTACACACTCGACCGTGCGCTTCCCGCTCTTCCACTTACAAGAACACTCGACAGCGCACTTGTCGCTGGTCACAATGCCCAGCAACGTCGTCACGTAAAACAAGAACACCGAGATTTCCATGGCGAACACGTTTATTATTGTCGAATGCTGGTCCTGGTTACGATAAACGCTATCCGCCCCGACTATTTTGCTCGAGGACGCTAGCCTCGCTAGGCGCATCAATAAGCGAGGAATGTTTTCGCTCTCCCGAGAAAATACTCTGTCAACAGGCTTACGCCCATTTTTTCCATTTCCCTCTTCGAGTAGGCTTCGGTGGCGAGACACCTTCGATCGTTGTTCTCACCTTCTCTCGTCTCCTTCTAACGACACGTTCAGTTCCTCCTCCTCGTATCGTCGAATAATACGACCGCCACCTCAGCCTTTATAACAAAGTTTACGCGAACCCTTCTCTCCGTGTAGCTGTTGCAGTGCAGCACGGCTAATTATGCAAACGAGAGGGTCGGGATTAAACGGTCTCGGCTCGTCCATTCGTGAATTCTTCTGATTCGTCGACTCGGCGACCGCTCGACGTACGATGACGAATACTTCTCCTTTGATCTTCGAAGGATACACGATGATCGAAGCTGACCGAATTGGTATTTTCGGCAAACTCACGAATCGACGAAAACCTCCGCCGTCTCTTTCCCTGACTCGTCTTCCCGTATTTGTCGGTACTTGTCACACGCGCGCGCGCACATTGAGATACATACGAGCACGTACGAGTAAGCATACACCACGAGCGTCCGTCGTTCTTACGTAAACGCGTCGATCAACGTGCACTTGCTGTGAAACTGACGAAAACCAACTCCACGATTCACCATCGATGAGAACCAATAACGGCAACAACACCCCCGTCGACGGACGGTACTCTGCACCACCACCTTGGACGACGCGTACTAACGCGAATCACCAAATATATTCGCGATACAAACCGAAGTCCTATCTCGTTCTCGCGTTGCTCCGTGCCCGAGGCGTTGTCCGTGCCAGGCGATCTTCGCTGGTTCGCGTTCCCCGTTCTGTTTTCCCAACCGATTCTCGCTACCTCTTTCCTTCTTTCCCCTCTTTGTTCTTTTTTCTCTCACTCCCGATATTCGTCGAACGCGCAAAACACTCGAACCGATAGCACGGACGCTCGTCGTGAAATGAGACTATGAAAAGCCCGGCACCGAACCGGAGAGACAGCCTGTGCTCGCTTTCTCTGTCCTTCTTTCGATACGTCGTTGCACACTGCCAGGAGGGAAAACGCCGACGCGAAGTAGGGCGCACCCTTCTTCCACTCCGGCCAGACTATATACACAGGGTGTACACACCACTACCGTGATTCCGAGCACCCCTTACGGCGCCTTTCCTCTCCTCCAGTCTCATCCACCAGCATCCTTCACCCCCTTGCCTAAGCCAGCTCTGTTCGAACCCCTATCCAACCCCTCTACCCTTATGAAAT